TAAGTACAATACCAAATTAATATTAAAATTAATACGTATATGTTATTAATTATAAAATTCAACTGAGTTACATTAATTCAAATAAGACATTACATTTTAATTAAAAAATACACTATTTTTGTAACACGTGGTAAGGGAAGAAGAATAAAAATAATTTCAGTATAATCAAACCAATCGAATTAATTAAGCAAATTAATAATAAATATATATTTAATAAATAAATAATTGACATGTAATTTTGGAACATATTCCGACTATTTGAAGAGTAATTTATTCTACGGGCGTTTTTGTAATTCTCCATACGTTAATACGATACAGTTTTGTATAATAATAACATAGGATTTATTATTAAAACGCTTATTATTGTTATATTTATGTTACTTTACAGTTATTTAATTAATAATTACAATACATTACAAATATATTGTAATTATTTATTTACCTGAGTATGATTGTTTGTATCGGCCTGGGTGTTTTCTATTTATAATATGTCTATCAGTTGTCTAGTACCCATAACACAAGCTTTAGTTAGCTTAACTTGGGTCTAGATGGCGCTGTGTGAATTATCCTGAGATTATTATTATTATGGTATAAATACATTAAAATAAGTACAAACCCTTGTAATGCAAACATAACAATTCACAATAAAAATATTTACGCGTTACTCATTTTGACAGTGTAGAGTACTGTCCATTTTATTAAAATTAACTTAATGACTTTAGTATTGTAAAAATATTATTAAATGTCAAAATTGCACGGATCATTCTTTGGCGGTAGTACCTAAGTTACAAAGTGACGACTAGCATTGTTACAAAAATAAATAACTTAATTAAGAATAATTATACTTAACGATAACTTAATTCAATAATGTCTGTTTGTATCGTAATATAAGTTAATTCTTGTTATATATATATATAACTTATAATAATTTTGACCACATTTGAGTTGCACTTAAACGATTATTAAAAATAATAATCTACCCTTTTATTTATTATTTAGTCTACGCATCTTAAATGTGGTCAAGCGTTTATTGTTTTTTTTTTTAATTAACTACATTTGCACAACTCGGACTAGATTTCTCTTTTTTTTTTAAACAAGCCAGTACTTAAATAAATATTTTATTACATCTAATAATTATTACAACTTTAAGTAATATCACGCACAAATTTGCTTTTAAGTTGTACAATCTACTGCACTTTGCCGTCTCAAAAAAATGGAATGTATATATGAGATCTATGGACTAGAGGAATAACCTAAAATAATCTATACACGCTCCTATTTTTTTATGTAATTTGAATGGTAAATATGCTGACGTCATCTGATGGCAAGTGGTGACCATCGCTAATATATATATAAATAGTACTGCGGACATCAAGTTGACATGTGACATCCATAACAAGTAAATCATGTCACCGGTGTCACATGACATAGTTAACATGTGACAATATGTGACACTATGTGACCCTATGTGACACTCATGCATTGTCATTCTAGACGACTGATGTTATGCCTCGAATTCTGTAATTTAATATATAAATGATAAAAATCACACTTAATCTTCTTAAGCTTACAAAATTCTACTAAACTATATATTTATTGTTTAAATTTAAACCTTAATGTGGAGCGCATATAGACCATTTACGATAGTCATACGTCATGTAATATACACATAAAAATGTGTTTGTCAGTCGTGCTTAAATTAATTATGTATAAGAAACTGTTACAGTGTTGATTTGTTTAAAAACAATATATTTATATTTAATTATTACAGTAAATATATAAGAAATTAAATATATAAATACAACAGAGCAGATATTTACGTCTATTTATTGGATTAGTGAAAAAATATTTTAAAAAGCATTTATTAGTAATCTGGAATGGCAAAGACCACCTGATGGAAAGCCATCGACTAATAAATACATGAATGGCATCGTAGAATTTCATCATGTGATGCCCATGGTATCCTTCAAGTGTTGCCATTCTGAGGCATTACAGCCTTATGCCTTAGACATGCCTCGTGATCCTGTAGTTTCGTATTTTGTAATATAATATATTACATTCAACATGACTAATAAACATATTGCCATATTTAATTAAATTCGATTTAATCGAATATTTTCTTCTAAAATGCTTTCTGTAAAGAATTTGCAAATTTTTGTCATTGTTTTTTTTTAGTTAAATATAACAATTTTGTTATTTTATATTTTTATTTTATATACATGCAAAAAAATGCATATTCTTTACAAATGACTAGTAAACTATAATTTGCTACAGAATTATAATATTATTCGACAAAATGACTTCATTTTTTATTTGCTATAACCTAATAAAATATTTTACATACTTGAGTATATTACACTAATAAAAAATCCGCTCTATCTTTGTCTGGATTGAAACATATATATTACTATGTTCATATAGAATATACTTACTATTCAAGCACTGAACAGCAGCAAAAACTGAACGGTGGGGAAAAAATAATTCAATTCTCGACTTGTATAAAAGTGACTAAAATGTCTTAGATTCATAAATTATTTTGAATTTGAATTTAAAGTGATGTTAGAATTTATCAAATGTCTACAACAGTGCCAGAGATTACTATGCAAACGGACAGAAATAATAGAAAATTCTGGAATTATAATATTTTTTTTGTAAATACTATTGAAAAATATATATTCCAATATATTACCCAAAAGTGATCCTATTGCCCTTAGAGTATAAAATAGGCTATCTTTATGAAATCATATACTTATAAAATATTTTATCTATACGTACATATCATTATCTTCTTTTACAATCGATTAAATTACAATCTGAACATTAAAGCAAATGTATTGTTGTATTGATATATAATGTATTTATAAATAAGTTAGAAGTTCGAAAACTGTGATTTCCACGATTTATTTATGCCCAAATAAACGGTAGAATCATGCAAGCAATTTGGAGAATCAGCCACATGTTAACTGTTAGAAAATATCGATTTTTAAACCGTATACAGGGCTGTCAATCGTAAAACGTTTTGATACGTAATTTGACGTATTTTGACAGCAAAAAGGAGAGAGGTTTCGATAATTACTGGTACTGTTAGGGTTGTTGATTTTTACAACTTTAAACTTGATGAGTATAAATAAATAATAATATTTAATTTTAATGAACTACACACTTAAATTGACGTATATATACTGCCTGATCTTGAATTCATGTAGCACTATAAAACTATAAATGCAGTGAAAAATGTACTCCTACATTTCAGTAATTCAAAATCTCATGCAACATTATACATATCTTGTATGGAAAATAAAAATTCACATACGTGTATAATTCAATGCGCAACTCTGAACCAATAATGTAAAATCTATACTGTTACAATATCATAAAGCTGGAATCATTAACTACTTATCAGAATTGAAAAAATATTTTATTGTTGGAGAGCCCATTTAAACTATAGGCTACATAACATTGCGCTACTCCCAATAGAATTGGACATTCAATGGAATTTAATGGAAAAATCTAAAAACAAAGAAATGTGACGCAGACGAAGTCACGCGGATCAACTAGTAGTGTAATATATGCAAGCAAAGACTAGTACTGAGCAAAGTAAATAATTATAACAAATTATTCTAATTATCTGTAAAACAGTTTATAATAAAATTATGAATAAACTATTTGTAGACGCATGACTAGAAACGTTTGCTATACAGAGATCGAACTGACATGTCCACACATGTCCTGCATGTGGGTATTTAATTAAGCAATTGTTGTAAAATATCCTTCTTCGAATCATCATACATCTCCTGAGAGGACAGTCATAAATCAAATACATTATCAACAGTACCTTGCAGCAGCCTTCGTATCGTATCCAACTACTTTTCTTAATATTTCACATAAGAAAATCCAAATGGATGTAAAAAAAACCTGATGAAAAAGAAAAAAGTGTCTTTCAAGTTAAAAATATTAAAAACTCGGCACTCGAAGAAAACAATGAAATAGAAAATGTATAGAAAAAATTGGTTAAAGAAAAGAAACTATGTTCTGATGTAATTGTTTCTGGCGTTATATATAGAAAGGAGCGTGGTTATAATGCCCTTAATTGTGGAAGATACATTATTGCTTATAAAACATGAATCTCGTCAATAGACTTTTTTATAATTTCTTTTTCGTCTAGAAAATTGCGAGTCGATATCTTCTAAAATTGAATATCAAGATAATTTCTTATAAATAGATGTACCACCTGTGTATCTTTGAAAAAATATCTTTATATATAAATAGCCTGTTAAGGAATCATTTAGAGATTTCATAATAATTTCAGATTCATTACCGGGTACACATTGCAAACGGTTATCATAGGTATTGATGATATTTTCTGTCTAAAGAAATGTATTTATCTTAGGATACCTCTTGCTCAAGCAGAGTAGAATAGAAACGTCTTTATGACAGACTCGACCCATTGGTTTTTCTACTATATTTATTAAAAAACCTATTAATTATCCCTATATCCAAAAGCATCTACAAGGTACTGCGTATATATTAAAAATCAAAGTAAATACCCACAATTATGGAGTGTGTAACCTTTATAACCCATATTTTCTAACGCCGTCCATTCATTTATTCAACACCACTATCATTACTGTACATATTAACCTGAAGTTGTCGTAATGACTCTCGAATATCGTGACACAATTTTATTCCATATTAGGCATGAAATATTAAACTGATTGTACCTATTTAATCATAAAAACTAAAACGTCCAAAACCCATTTTAACTGTAGAAATTCCTTTGATCCTTTTTTCCAAAATAAAAAACATGAAATGAAAGAACCTAACGATATTATGTATAGATCAATAGCTAAAATAGACATTTTAGACGTTTCAAATTTTTATGATGAAGGAGCTTAAGTAAAGTTTGATATTAGAAATATTTAAACTACTATATATATAAACAGAAACTGAAAAACACAATCACTATTTCAGAAAATTCACATTGAAGTTGAATATTAGGAGCTTACAAAAAAGACAATCACTGTTACTATTTACAATGTGTACAATAGACCAAGTAACTAAGTGGATTTCAAGTTACTATTTTAATATTTCAAACCCTTATTTTACAAATAGACTCTAATATTTCAAGTGATGAAAACTATATCGTGAAGAAGGTAGGCTCGTCCGCTGCCATGTTTCTAATATATCCTGTGAAATGAGATTATGTCAAGTGGTGCTTTAGCAACATCGACAGTTGAGAATACCACTAACTCCATCTTGAATAACCGTCACGAACGTATCTACTTATATTGTTTATCCGTTAATAATAATTGCATAATCAGAACTTGATCCTTACGCTTGCATTTACTAACCGGCTGTTTAAGGTTTTACAATAGCACCTCTGAAAATGTACGATCATTCGAAACCTTAAACAACAACTCCAAGTCCATTTCATAGCACTAAAAGCTGCTGATACGGTATACGGCGTCACAAGAGATGATCGTCCTGGTCGTCGTGATCTTCCTCTGACTCCCCAGAGTCTAGACTGGGGACGTGGTCTAGACCATCGTCTAATTGGTGGTCTAGTTCTGTTGATGGTGCATCATCGTCTTTCCATTTATCCATTGAACGTCTTCTGGCATTCATGAAAAAGTTGCCAACAGTGGTCGGCTCTAATCCTAATTGTCTTGCTATCGTCACTTGCATTTCTTTTGACGGCCTCTTTGTTTCCTGTAATTGTGATATTTTTGTAATTAATATAATTATGTTAAATTATTAATAAGTAACTATTTGTGGCTTAGTACTTTTAACACCTCAGCTTGTAATTGCCACAAATTAGATACCCACATAGTAGATATATTTGTATTGACGTGTTCTAGATATATTTTTCTTAACATTATTTATTTTTGTATTGTCATTTCTTACCTTAAAAATAGCCTGTAGAGTACGCCGCTGGAGGTCTGTGAAAACCAAACGGGGCTTCTTCGGGGAAGGAAGGGTATCCGAACCCAAATCCTCCTTGCGCTTGCAGCCTGAAAATGAAACAAATAATACGTAAATATTAGCCAACAATTCTCTCAAATTAAGACTACAAATGTAAAGTTAGATGTAATATCATATGTCTGTTTCATCAACAACAATCTATCTTTAACTTTAATTTAATTAAGATCAGTTCAGCCATTTAGTTGTAAAAAGGAAACAGACATGCCTACATACAGATTTTTAGATAATACTTACTGCCTCTCTGAGGAATCTGGGCCGCTGTAACAAAAAGAAAATAAGAAGATTTTAAATTTAGTTAGGTGAAACTAAACATAAAAATTAAATCACCCGAATTATATAGAATCTAAGGACAACATACATGCCACTAACATAGACAATGCTATTGATATAATATGCACTAGCAATAAGTTTTTTAGGTATGGCAATTAACTTAACTCTACCACAGTTAAGATAATAGGCTTTACTGAGAATTGCTTACAAATTTCATTTGTATTTACAAACTCTTGCTAATGCATATGAATTGAAAAGAATTGTGGAACATAAAAACAGTAAATATGTCCAATAGAAAAATCTAACATTTTATCACTTTCATTATAATGGTTTTGTTCCCAAACATGGGATTTCAGTTCACCTACGAATTAACGATATACCATAATTATCAAAAGCATCGGTAGCGTTTGATACCAGGTTTTAGGCTATCAAAATTTGTAGGTGTTTCTTTTTCCTTTTCAGCTGTATTTAATTTATGAGTAATCGTAACATTGTGGAACAATGAATTTGTTACGAATTTATTTTCAGCTAATTTTACTAATTTATTACACTTGCCTTGAAAAGGGTTTTATTATAATATTTAAAGATTTCAGTTCGTTATTATTAAATCTACTGATAATATTTGATTAATGGAAGATATTACATTTGTAATTTATAAAACCCATTCCAAATTATAGTTTGTAATCTAAATATGAAAACATATTAATTATAAAAACGCATACCTGGCGACAATGTAAACAACATTAACAAAGGGTTCTGAAATCTCGCAGGCACCTATAAAATCATATTTGAAATAAAACTATTGCAGCCCGGGCGTAGGGATAAACAAAAAGGGAGGGAGGGGGCAGCGGTAGCAGTCTAACATTCATCTTGGCTTCTTGAAGCTAACAAAATACACTTACCTAAGGCTATAAAATAATGTTTTAAAAACATTTTCTAATACGATAACAATAACTGTCATTTGTCTAGGCAGTATCTTTGCCAGTAGATTTACATTTACAGCTTGTAAAAACTAACAAATAGCGCCGACGAAGGATACTGCCTATTCAAAAACAAACATCTATATGAGCAAATCTCTATACAATTTACACATTTACTTTTATAATATTGACAAAATAAAGATAAATTAAATAATATAACCATTCAGACATTCTCCTTTCATTAACTAATTGGAGGCTTGTCACAAAGCAAACCTGAGTAAATTAATAGTTAAAATTAACAATTGATGTAGCTAAAACATATTAACTTATAAGTGTAGTCATTAATACTTTACTTGTTTTACCTTTGGGACAAGCTATAGATAAATATTTAGTATACCTATAAGAAACCAAGTCCACTGCTACGCAGCCACGGATCGGGACGGGATAATTGGAATGATATTGATGGGTATGGCTATATGAAAGAAAACATACAGATGACAATAAAATATCGCAAAAAATACCTTCATATATTGTGAAACAATAAAAGTTAAATAAATTAATATTTTAAGTTAATGACGTCGTCCAAAAAGCAGTTCTAACGAATTTATATAAAACACTTACATGTGGTGTTATTAAATAAATTATTATTTCATATGAACAGTTAGACCGATTGAAATAAAATGTGATATAATTAATGAAGAAAATCAAACTGAAGCTAAAAAAAGGTGAAGGATTGAGGAGTATTGGGAGTTGAGGGAAACCAGGAATGAAATCAAGTTGTGGGCAGGACTCACAAGCAAGAAACATCCCCGGCTGGTTCATATGCCGGTGTGTCCCAGTTAGGCGGGGGCCCCGGGTACATTGCTGAGCTGTGTACCGCCGTAGCCTGGCAGTCCCTGTGCTGGCCGTATGTTGGCTGTGGCGTGTTGTTTACATTGTCGCCTTTAAGCGTTTGATGCTGATTTGGAGTATCTGTGAAAGTATCAGGTGATCGTCTATTACACACGGAAAGAAGAATTAAAGATTATTATTGTTAATTTGGTAATAAACACAGTGTCGATGTTAAATAAATAATTATTAGTCTTAGATGGCATTCAAATACGGATAAAACAATTATATGTTCAAATGAAAATTGAAAATGATACAATGGACATTCTGAATATGTATTATATATATATATTATAATGTATATTCTTATATATAAAATTCTCGTGTCACTATGTTAGTTACCATACTCCCCCAAAACGGCTTGACCGATTTTTATAAAATTTATTATGCATATTTAGTAGGTCTGAGAATCGGCTACTATATATTTTTCATACCCATAAGTGATAAGTGTCGTCTCCTAACATATTTTTAATTTATGGAATATTTCTTTTTTATTTTTTTATAATGTACATGCAATCCTAAATTTGCACCCTTTTATCATTAACATCTATTTTTTAATACCGATTTTTATTTATATGACAAAATAACGTTTGCGGGCTCAGCTAGTATCTATTATATAGAATAGGTTCCATATATAATAATGAACATATATTATATACATATAGTATTATTACGATTTTCAACATTATCAAATAGGTAACAACTATCTATATATATACATATATATATATAACTCAAAGGTGACTGACTAACATAGTGATCTATCGACGCACAGCCCAAACCAATGGACGGATAGGCTGAAATTTGGCATGCACGTAGATGTTATGACGTAGGCATCCGCTAAGTATGGATTTTAATTAATTCTACCCCCAAGGGGATAAAATAGGGGATGAAAGTTTGTATGAAACTTTGTCAGTTTTAAACCGATCGGACTGAGACTTTGCATGCATAAATCTACTATGATGTAGGCATCCCCTAAGAAAGGATTTTGATAATTTCCACCCCTAATCGGATAAATTAACGCGAGCGAATCCGCGGGCAAAATCTAGTAATAGATAATGTAACAAATCGCAACAATGTTAAAAAAAAACAACATCGCTATATAAATTATTACTGCGTATTACGTTAGTGATGACGTTGCGTAAAACATAAATGTTTCAACAAAAAGAAAACTAGGTGTCTACTATGTCGATCAAAATATGTTGCGACAATCCAATGTTTCCCACTCAATAGATAATTAGTAAACTGCAATACAAAGAAACTACATAAATTAACATAATTACCTAACAATTCAATATGTAAGGAAAACTATAAACATTCGGCATGTATAACAATAAGCAACGACATCTATGGTCTAGCAGTTTAGCACAATTCCGATGGTCGCGGGTTCGATTCTTTACACGGCACAAACATTTGTATTCATGGTTATGATTGTTTGCATCGGTCTGGGTATTTTCTATATATAATATGTATGTATTTACGAAAACAAAATATATCTACCTATCAGTTGTCTAGTACTCATAACACAAGCTTTAGCTAGCTTAAGCTAGATGTATAACACTATAGATGACGTTTAATACAATTCCGTGTGTTCGATTCTTTACACGATTTGTATTCATGGTTAAGATTATTAGTGTCGTTCTGGGTGTTTTCTATGTAAAATATTGTGTATAAAAAAAAATAACTATTTATAACTGATATAAATACATAGTTAATTTTTTTTTAGACAACTGTGTCTAGTGCTTATAATACAAGCTTTAGCTAGCTTAACTTGGGTCTAGATAGCGCTATGTGAATTGTCCTGAGATTATTATTACTATTATTATCATTGAACTATACATATAAATAAAATTGTAGTGTCTGTTTGTAATATTGAAATAACCGATTTTTACTACATGCATATGAATATAAATACAACTAAATAACACTTATTACAACTTTTGTCTGTCTATCTATCTGTTTGTTCCGGCTAATCTCTGAAATGGCTGGACCGATTTTGACGGGACTGTGTTTGGCAGGTGGTTAATATAATAAGGCTACTTTTAGTTTAGAAAATGAATTTAAATTCCAATACGTAAGGAAAACTAAATAGGGACATTCTGCACTCCTTATACAAGAATAAACCCCGTGCGTGATTGAATGCAGTTCTTGAGTTGCATAATAAAGAGATATATAAGATATACTAAGCAACTAAATATGAAACGTAATGATGTACCTGAGATAACAAATATACAATATTATCACTATATTTTACGTAGGTTGACATTGTCATTTGTTTATAGCTCTAACTATATTTGTATTTCATATCTTCCGTACACTTGTAGTGTTTGGTAACATCTATGTACATCTATATCATCGTCGTATCTCTAATATTGTTCATATATATATATATACTAGTTATACCCCCGAAAACGTCCGCGTGGAATATAACTTTATTCAAATAAAAGTAGTCTAAGTTACTCCTTATTACATCAGCTATCTGCCAAAAAAAATCCCGTCAAAATTGGTCCAGCCATTTAGAGAGATTAGCTCGAAGTAACAGACAGACAGACACAAATGGTCAAAAATGTTATTTTGGTGTATGTACCGTATATTCATATGCACGTAGTAAAAAACGGTTATTACAATATTTCAAACAGACACTCCAATTTTATTTATATATACTAGCAGACCCGGCCACGCGTTGCTGTGGCTAAGGTTCTTGAATAAAATAATATTGCGACTATAAATTGAGACATAAGCTATCATATCTTTCAAATTGGATCAAATTGCACACAATATGCAAATCGAATTTGCAATCGGTTCAGTAGTTTAGGAGTCCATCGCGGACAAACAACGTGACATGCACCTAATCTTCTAAATATATATAACTCAAAGGTGACTGACGTAGTGATCTATCAACGCACAGTGGATGACATTCCTGTGGATGATAAAACTATTATTATTATTTCTTTATATATATATATATATATATATTATATCTCCCTTTGATGGGTTAATATACTTATCATTGCAGGTAAAACTCACCAAACAATGACAGTATAAATGATGAATGATAAGGATGAAGATTTTTTAAGCGGAAGACAAAAATTTGCGGACTATTCTACAAGTGTTCAGTATTACTGCTTTTTGGAGAAGTATGAAAGTAAGTGGGTGCAGTTGTAATATCTTGAGACTAGT